GGAGCTGAGGGGCTCCGGGCTTGCGAACGCTCCAGGTAAACAAAACGTCCAGGCCCACTAGCAGCTTACCCTAACGGGCCAGGAGCCAAAGTTTGCCAACCCCTGAAATATAGGGTTGGCTTATGAAAGGGTCATACAGTTTTTGCTATTTTTACCTATCCATCTTGGGGGGGTCGGCTTATAAACGAATGGGCTAATGAACGAGTATATACTGTGTATACATCTTCTTTACTATAATAGAGGATGTTTTCATTTTCCATGTAAATATTATATTTTTTTCTGAATCCTACTAGGCTGTTTGACTCAAATATATTTTGTGGCACTGAGGTTCCATAAGTTAATTGTGTTGTATGAAAAAAATTATTTATTTTTTTTAATTTATGTATTATTTTGCTTGGATATCCCCTCGTTCTTGTATAAGAACAGGTAAATGAGAGCACCCAATTGACTTTCTCTCTAACAGTCATTATTTTCTGTATTTCTATCTTGTACCCTCTGACTTTTTTCCTTTTTACACAATTCCAGCATTCTTAGTCTCTTTTCATGTGGACGTCTCCCCACGCCACTGATCATTTTTGTTCCAGGGCTCTGGACCTCTTTTATTTCAACTAGATCTTTTTTGAGATAGGGTGACCAGAATTGAGAACTGTATTCCAATGAAGACTTGATTTATTAAACTGCACTGTGATATTTTCAGTATTATTTTCTAAACCATTCTTTATATATCCTGTTTGTTTGCTTCTCTAATTTGTCATTGCACACTGAGCAGAAGTTTTCATTGAATTGTCTACATTGACTCCTGGTCTTTTTTTTCCTGAGTGGTTTCAGTTACTTCGGAACCCAGTAATGTGTGCAAATATTTCAAATGATTCCTTCTAGTCTGCACTGCTGTGCATCTGGCAACATTGCATTTGCATGTGCAAGCATGCTACTCATTCAGCTGGCCTCCTTAGAACTGTCTAAAGCTCCACATAATCTTTTCTAGTCTTTACAAACCTACATTATTTTGTGTCATTTGCAGATTTTGCCACTTCACTGTTTTCAGATAATTAATCACTATATTAAACAACACAAGTCCTAGTACTGAAGTTGGGGCACCTTACTCTTAATCTTTGGCCTGGCAAAAAACTGACCATTTATTCCTGATTTATGTTTTGAGACCATGGAGACTTATTGAATCTTATTTAAAAAAAAAAGTGCAAATTAAATGCTGCAGCGCAGAGCTGACAGTAGCATCTGGCCCTACATCTCAGTCTTTCATAGCACACTAGCACCTCTATACCTCAGGATCAAATAGTCCACTCAGTACTTTGCTGGAATCATTGTGCGGGTTTCAGTTTCATGAAAGAATTTGCTGGCTTGATTTTTTTAGCTGTAAAATAGGTTGACAGTGTACATTTCCAAAACAAAAGACTGAAAACTAGATTCTAAACAGAAGCATATTTAGGAACAAGGGTATGCTACGTTGGGAGGAAACGTGCAGTGACTGAATTCATGCAGCCAGTACAGTGGATTACACATTTGCAATTTTGGGTTCATATTTCAAAACTAACTTCTGAAATATAAAGCATTTATGCTATAAGACCTGCTTGTATCAGCTCCTGGAATGTTCTTGTTAAATTAATAATTGCCCTGTCCATATTCTCTTCATCCAATACCCAGTTTCAGTCAATCTTTGCTATTTGTCCCACTGGACCAGCTCGGTCAAACAAGATGGAGCCATAAAGCTGGGTGTCATTAACATATGGAGGCAAAAACCCTGACTGACTTCAAGACTGCGCTTGATAAGTTTATGGAGGGGTTGGTATGGTGAGACTCCCTACAACGCCACGTACAGTAGCTGATCTGCGACTGCTAGCAGCAAATATTCCCAATGGCTGGTGATAGGACATTAGAGGGGGAGGGCTCTGAGTTATTACAGAGAATTCTTTCCCAGGTGTCTGGGTGGAGGGTCTTTCCCACATGCTTAGGGTTTAACTGATTGCCATATTTGGGGTTTTGAAGGAATTTTCTCCCACGTCAGATTGGCTGAGTCCCTGGGGGGTTTTCGCCTTCCTCTGCAGCATGAGCCACAGATCACTTGCGGGTTAAAATTAGTGTAAGTGGTGGATTCGCTGTAACTTGACGTCTTTAAACCATGATGTGAGGACTTCAGTAACTTGGCCAGAGGTTAGGGGTCTATTACAGGAGTGGGTGGATGAGATTCTGTGGCCTGCAATGTGCAGGAAGTCTGACTCAATGATCAAGATGACTTTTCTGCCCTTAAAGTCTGAGAGTCTATATGTAAATCACATCATCCCTTATCTTTTCCTCACTAACTCTCCTGACATCCCCATAGAGCTTGCCTTCGCTTGAATTCTCAATCATGTTAATTGACTTACGTAAAATACAATTGTTAATTCAAGTGTAGGTGTTTTATACCTTACAAAAATTACACTGCACCGAGAAAACACTGTAAAGTGTGTGTGTGTGTCCCTGCTGCCCCCCTCCTTCTTCAGGATAGGCCTCCTCTCTGAATGCCAGCACCACTGCCAGCCACATCCTGCTTTGATGGAATGTCCCAGTATGGTGCATGCCAACACCATCACCACATAGTGTGAGTTGGCCAGCTACATCTTAGGGAGGGGAGGGCCTAACCTGAAGCAGAATCTGAAATTGTGTGTTGAATGCCCGTCACAGCATGGTTAATTGCCACTCATGGGTTTTTAATTGCAGTATAGATAGGAGTATATCTATACTGCAATTAAAAACCCATGAGTGGCCTGTGCCAGTTGACTCAAGGTCGTGGGGCTTGGGCGAAGGGGCTGTTTAATTTCAGTGTAGACAGATTCAGGCTGGAACCCAGGCTCTAGAATCCTGTGAGGTAGGAGGGACCCAGAGCTCAGGCTGCAGCCCAAACCCAAACATCTGCATAACAATTAATCTGAGCCCCTCAAGTCTGAGTCAGCTGGCATGGGCCAGCCACAGGTATCTAGGTGCAGCGTGGACATACCGTTAGACCATGGTGCTGAAATAAAAAGATTTTACCATTTTAGGCTCTTACTTGGAGAAGTGAGGTGGTGAACATCTGCAGTAGCACTGAGACCAATGGGCGTTGCAGATGCTCAGCAACTCTCATTGTAGGTCACCTTTTAAACACTTCTTACAAAAATCTTTCGATAGGCACCTCTAAAAGAAGAATCCCCACTCCAGTTCCCTATAGTTCCTTGCATTCTCCTTATGTCAAGTATCAGAGGGGTAGCCGTGTTAGTCTGGATCTGTAAAAAGCAACAGGGTCCTGTGGCACCTTTAAGACTAACAGATGTATTAGAGCATAAGCTTTCATGGGTGAATACCCACTTCATCAGACGCATGTAATGGAAATTTCCAGAGGCAGGTATAAATATGCAGGCAAGAATCAGTCTGGAGATAACGAGGTTAGTTCAATCAGGGAGGGTGAGGTCCTCTGCAAGCAGTTGAGGTGTGAACACCAAGGGAGGAGAAACTGCTTTTGTAGTTGGCTAGCCATTCACAGTCTTTGTTTAATCCTGAGCTGATGGTGTCAAATTTGCAAATGAACTGAAGCTCTCTTTGGAGTCTGGTCCTGAAGTTTTTTTGCTGTAAGATGGCTACCTTTACATCTGCTATTGTGTGGCCAGGGAGGTTGAAGTGTTCGCCTACAGGTTTTTTGTATATTGTCATTCCTGATATGACTTGTGTCCATTTATTCTTTTACGTGGTGACTGTCCAACGTACATAGCAGAGGGGCATTGCTGGCACATAATGGCATATATAACATTGGTGGACGTGCAGGTGAATGAACCGGTGATGATGTAGCTGATCTGGTTAGGTCCTGTGATGGTGTTGCTGGTGTAGATATGTGGGCAGAGTTGGTATCGAGGTTTGTTTGCTGCAAAAGCAGTTTCTCCTCCCTGGGTGTTCACACCTCAACTGCTATCAGAGGACCTCACCCTCCCTGATTGAACTAACCTCGTTACCTCCAGACTGATTCTTGCCTGCATATTTATACCTGCCTCTGGAAATTTCCATTACGTGCGTCTGACAAAGTGGGTATTCACCCACGAAAGCTTATGCTCCAATAAATCTGTTAGTCTTAAAGGTGCCACAGGACTCTGTTGCTTTTTACATTCTCCTTATGGTTTCTCATTACAGGGATCCATGGAAATTGAACAAGGTGACAGTTCTAATCAATCATTTCTAGAAGCAACCAAAACAATCAAACTGTTTTAATGTAAAAAGTTATAGGCTCTTATTTTTTAATATCTTTTATACAAACTACATCTCAACATTTTAATGCTTAAGTGACCTTGAGGTTAGGGGTTAGTCTACATTTGAAATGCTACAGCAGCACAGGTGTTGTGCTTTAGTGTAGACACTACCTACACGAACAGGAGAGGTTCTCCCATTGGTATAGATGATCCATGTTCCCAAGTGGCAGTAGCTAGAATTCTTCTGCTGATTTAGCGCCGTCTATGTGGGGATTTAGGTCAGTTTAACTGTGTGGCTCCAGGGTGTGGATTTTTCACACCCCTGAGCAACATAGCTGGGTCTATCTAATTTTCTAGTATAGACCCACCCCAGGACATTAAGGGTATATCTACATTAGAAATACTGCACTGGTCTAGCACTGTAGTGTAGACATTACAGTGATGGAAGGGGTTCTTCTATTGCTGTAGTAAATCTACCTCTCCAAGATGTGGTAATTAGATGCCATAAAAACTGTTGCCACCACAGCCACGTTTCTATTCTAACCATTCTAACAAGATTTTACTGACACTTCTTTTGTTTCAATTCCCTTCTGCAGTGGCTAAGAAACCCAGGCCCGCAGCATGAGAAACGGACTCTGTTTGGAGACATGGTGTGCTTCTTGTTTATAACTCCACTGGCGACCATCTCTGGCTGGTTGTGTCTGCGGGGAGCGGTGGACCATCTGCACTTTAGTAGTAGGCTAGAAGCTGTTGGCCTCATTGCACTCACTGTCGCACTCTTCACTATTTACCTCTTTTGGACACTAGTAAGTACTGTTTATCTAACGATCATGTGGTAGGGTGTGTGTCATATTCTATTACCTTTTATAGGATTTTTTAGAGTAATGTCTGTAGGGGACCTATAGGTTTCATCCCAATTAAACTATACAGAACTCTTCCTTAAAGGTACTTTGCCTTTGGTATTTGGTAATAACTGACTCAGAGCCCCATAGGAGATGGCAGGAGGGAACGAGAAAGCCCCAGGGGAGAAGTGTTCAAGACAGATGTTGCACGAGTGAACTATCATTGAAGCTGTGGGGAGGAGAAAAGGGAGATTTAAGATGGATCCTGGCAGCCTTAAAATGGCTGCCACATGGCCGTGGTACAAGCATGGTCTTCTAATTTGACTTCTGACTGCTATTATGAGTGCAGATACTTTTCAAAGTGCTGAGTTTGTGTAAAAATTTAATCTTAGTAGAATATTTTTCACATCCCTGCTTCTTGAGGCCCCATGTATTCTGCCATGGAATTTGCCACGGAATCCACACCTTGCTGCAAGATGGTGCTTCAGAATCTAAGCGTTCATTTATATAAAAAATAGCCTCATTTTGAGCTCTTGTGATACCCCTCCAAATGGGAACAGAATGCAAGGGTTTGGCTGTGCTGGAAGGTGGCTGAACCAATATAGCGACCCCCGTGCAATGCACTCACACTTGTGCTAAAAAACTCCAGTGCAGCCAACAAACCCTAAGCCATGTTGCATCACTGAGGCTGCAGGCAACCTGAAGCAAACAATAGCTCTGAGTAAGGTGTGACCTGCTTCATTCATTCCATTTGTGTTGGCAGCAGTGTTGCCAATACGCATAATTGCAGGCCAATTTGGGAGCTCTCACAAGAAAACACATGCAGCTCAGAAATTTTACCCAAAATGTCTGTAGTTTCGCCCTTCTGTCCTCAGTGCTGTACTTAGCTGTTTCCTTTGGTGAGTTGCTGCAAACATTTCCCTTTGGCAAGTGTGGCTTAATTCTTCAGTTTGTAAACACACTAGGTTGGAAGCACACTAGAAGTTAGGCAGCCGAGTGTTTTTGTATTTGATGCTACCCCTCAGGCTACCTTACAGAGCTTGTAGATTTCAGATGATCACAAAGATACTTATGTACTATACATCCAAGTCACCTTGAAAGCCCAACTGGAGCCTGATTTGTTTCTTAATTTCAGAATTAGTAGGGTTTGGAACTATGCAAAAATGGTTTGGCTGAATAATTAGATTTCATTATTCTTCGTGCATGGACTCCTGTGGGTGCCCATTAAATAACTACTGCAACAATTAACTGAAGCTACTAAAAGCTACTTGAGTAGGGCCATTCTTACCAACAACATTTAAAAATCACTTATTCGTTTTAAAAAAGGGTTTCTCCTTTAGGAGTATGGAATGAGAAATGTGTGTCTGTGTCTTTCAAAATTTTGGTAAATGTTTAGATATTATGGTGATGAGCCTGATATCAATATGTAGCTCAATCAGTTTAACTGAAATACACCATCTTCATTGCACGGTGGCCCCCTAGTTGTGGTTTTTCAACCAGGGAGGGAGAGGAGGGGGAGAACAGGAGGGGAGAAATCTATATCCATTTCACTATATTACTCAGGGCAGCAGGAGGTAGATGTGTGAGGGAGGCAAAGTATCTCACCTTGCAGAACAGCAACCACTCCTGTGACGGGTTAGATCACAGAAACCCCCTTGGGAACTGCCACCTGATGTGCTGGGACTACCTCTGAGCCCATTTTCCCTGCCAGCTTGGGACTTCAGTACCTTTCCTTGTTTGAGCCAGACACGCTTGCCTGCTGCAAACACAGATCCATGTCTGAACCACATCCCTCAAGCTGCAGGCTTAACTGAAAACAGCTTAAGAAGTGCTCCTGTCTTCAGCACTCAGATGCCCAGCTCCCAATGGGGTCCAAACCCCAAATAAATCTATTTTACCCTGTATAGAGCTTATACAGGGTAAACTCGTAAATTGTTCGCCCTCTATAAGGAGATGCACAGCTGTTTGCCTCCCCCCCCCCGCAGATATTAATACATACTCTGGGTTAATTAATAAGTAAAAAGTGATTTTATTAAATACAAAAACTAAGATTTTAAGTGGTTCCAAGTAATAACAGACAGCACAAAGTAAATTGCCAAGCAAAATAAAACAAACACACACAAGTCTAAGCCTAACACAGTAAAAACTAAATGCAGGTAAATCTCATCCTCCGATGTTCCAATAAGCTTCTTTGACAGACTAGCCTCCTTCTAGTCTGGGCCCAATCCTTTCTCCAGGTACAGTCCTTGTTCCAGCTCAGGTGTTAGCTAGTGAATTTCTCATGACTGTAGCCCCTTGGTTCTGTTCCACCCCCTTATATACCTTTTGCACCTGTGAGCTACTTGCAGATCTTCACAATGAATTTACTATCAGTGTCTCAACTGTCAGCATTAAGCTATATGTCAGATTCATTTGTTTCCAAGTTGCTGCCAATAATTTTAACACTTATGGAAGTGGCTTGTTCCCAGACTGGGGAGATAGTTAGTTTGTAAGATTGTGAGTGCTTCCAGCTGTGGGGAGATAGGAATGGACTCTGGCCCGGGTTTTATCCCGAGCAACTCCACTTCCCTGCTGCTGAAAACTTGTGATGCAATCTGTGCAACAGTTGTTTCTAGCCTCAGATTGTCATCTCGCTACTGTTTTTATCCAACCATTAGGCTGGTAATAATGAGAATGAGTGGACAGCAGCTAATGGGGATGGGTAGCACAGGGGAGCGGAAAATAAACATACTAGCATTCAGTACAATTCATTACAGATAGAACAGCGGTTCTCAAACTTTAGCAACCCCCCATTTTGATTTAAATTTTTTCCACAGACCCCCAGGGGTGTTTATTCTTTGTTTCTAATTTATTTCATTCTAGGACACCAAGCATTTTTAAATTTATAATCTATTCTCTCTTGATCTTCCGTCAGGTGTCATTTAGGTACCACTGTAGATTATACAACGAATGGCGTCGGACCAATCAGAGGGTGATACTCCTAATTCCAAAATCTGTCAGTGTTCCTTCTAACCAGCAGTCATTGCTGGGCCTTCATTCAGTCAAAAGGAACTCAAAGGAGACAATCGTTTGATTTTGGCAGTTCTGTACTGGAGTCATGCACTAAATATACTTTCTTAAACCCATGGGCTCTGATTCCATCCAGAACCTGGTACAGTGCTATTCCGGTTTACAAACTCTTTACAGAGGAAGAAATCACTGTTTTAATTAAAATCATGGATGCTGCAATCATATGATATTTGCTAAGCTGCCAAACATGTTTATTTAGCAGATACTGTATGGAATTCTACAAACTCATGTTAATACCTGCCTTGTCAGTGATGCAAATCCTTTTTTTATTATTGTTTAAAAATATTAAAACTATGGTAATTAACAATGCAAAAAATTTTTTAGGAGTGCTTTCTTTATTTCTACAGTTATTATTTCTGTGGATATCTGAATAGGAACCAGTGCTGAATATTTTATTTTACTGACTCAAAGAAGATGACATTACAAGAAGGAAATTGTGCTACTTTAGTTTTATTTGAAGGGCATCTTATACTAACCTTGGATTATTAAAAATGTTTTTAAAGTGAGTTCTACAAATGGGCATTCTATTTAACATAAAACCCCCTTAAAAAGCATTCTCTTCCATTTGTTGTTTGGTAGTGAAAACCTGATAAAAATGCAAAATGTGTGAAAAACAAGTATCTCACAGATTGCAATAATCTTCGAGTCAAAAATATTTCATAAAGCAGTTCCCAAAAAAGAACTGTTACAGGGTTATTTCCTTTTCATTTGGAAGGAGCAAATTAGCCCCAAATTTTGCACTAAAGTTACACTGGTGTAACTAAAGAGTTAGTTACTCTTTATTTACCCCCAGCTAAATTTGGCCCGATTAATTAATTTTGTAAGGGGGACTTTGCATACATAATGATCTACTAATTCATTAGACATTTCCTAGGAAGCCTGAACATGTCTTGCATAACAATTAGCCTTACTCTAGAAATGCTGAATTTTCAGCTTGACAGGTAAATTTAGAGTATATAAATTCTCTCATTGTAGCATTGAGACTAAGGCTCTTTATAAAATGTAAAACACTACATACTATTATGACCACACTGAATTTTGATTCTGAATATTATTTTCTGCTTTTAACCATCCCCTTTATTTTTATATTTTTAAATCATCAATTCATTCACTGACTCTTAGATTTTGGCTCTCACATTATGCAATATAAGGGATTTTATGTGGGAAGACTCATTTGGTACTGAATGCTTCTACAGCTAAAAACCTATTAAATGCTGCTGGCAAGTTAGAGATAAGTAACTTATTTGCCATTTTAAAATAAGGATTTCTTTGTTTCCCACCCTGCAGAGGAATTGAAAAATGGTAGAGTGTGTGTAGTGAGGAGGTAATGTTTTACATTTCTGATGGATCAAGCTGATGCAGGTGTTCTGTCAGCCAAGATAGAGCTATTTAAATACAAAGCTCTAGCAAAAAACAAACCCATCAGCCATGCTTTATGCTGTCTCAGCTCACATGTATTTGGAGTTGTAATAATAGATTTTCCTTTTGACACTAATTCCAGTGATACAAGTATCTAATATTCCGTTTAGTCATCAGCCCTCTAGGGGTATTAGAACTACAAACAGCCATCATTGCCTAACTTTTCTATAATCAAATACCAACTTTGTCCATCAGTCACACTTTACCCTTCACAGAGAAACATGATAAACTCTCACTTGACAATCATTTTTGCTCTGCAGTCTACCTTTAATACTTTAGCACAAAAGAGTCAGCACAATTAAGGATATAGCTGGGATACAGTATTCCCACAATGGCACCAAGAAGGTAGGTTCCTATCATGCAGATATATTATTCTGTTTTGTGCCTAACATGCAAGAGTGGAACAGATCTTTGGAGGAGGAGGCGGCTTTATATCCCACACTCCATATTCATGAATCAGTGCTACTGATGTCTTTTTGCTCTACACGCGCCAAAGCAGTATTATGGTGCCTTGTTCTCTTCCAGACAGCAAGATAGTAGGGTGAGTGCTACTAACATCACATTCCCACCTTCCTCTCTGGACCTGGTAGTCAGAAGGATCCTATTGACCAGCTTTGGTTCCTCTTTCTCTAGGAGTGAGTGATCTTTTCATACTGAATCGCTGTTTGGATCGATGTAAATTCAAAATTGGTGTCTATTAAAACAAAAGTTATTGAACAACAGCAACAAACTCAATTTTTAGCTTCTGAAGGGACTTTAAGGGTAGTAAACATCTATGGCACTAGCTACACTTAACAGAGCTAATGACAACATGACAAAGGCTCCATTGTGCTATCACAACAGATCCAGTAAAGTAAAAAATAAATGCTAAGTACAACTAATAAAGAATGAGTGGCTTTATTTATTTTGTTAAATGTATCTCATTCTTTCCTTTGGCTGGCAGCAGCTTGGCCGTGGTCCTCAAAAGGATTTTTCACCCACACCTGGAGTTGGGCTTCTCATTCATTTTCCAAGTAAAAATTCAGCTGAGAGGGGAAAGGTACTTGATTTAAAATTGTGAACTGAAAACAGAAGTCAAACAACAATGCAATCCTACACGACATGTTTTAGAAAGCAGCAGGCACAAGTCAGCTTCATTTCTTCCCCCTATATCCAGTCTTACTCCTGCACACGTTCTAGGCTTTTGACAGACTGCTGTCTCAAATGGATACTGTTTGGGCCACAGACAAGCCATTTCTGTTCAGTATTAATAGCATCAGTGGGAAAAGGAGAAGAAAGAAGTTCCATTCTTTGTGCTAGACCCTCTCCTTGCTGTAAGCCTAGCTTGTCACATCACAATGACCATGAGGGATATGACAAATACCAGCCCTGAAATTTCAGCAGACAATAAAATGCATCTTAAAAAAACAAACAAACAAACAAACAAAAAAAACCCACTAAATTTATTCCAGCAGTGATGCTAAATAGTTTTGATTCCAGTATTTAAAGCTATGTTATGTAGCCATGCTTTACAAGCTAAAGTCATCCTACGTTTTGTTCTTCTAACAAGAGAATGAATTCTAGGAAATAAATTATACTATTCATAACATTAATAAAATATGGGACTATGGAAAAATAAGTACTTAAATTGAGACCTCTGTAAACCAGCAATTACTATGAGAACTTCACTTTTAGCAAGGAACATATTAACACCACTGACCTTTTGAATGCAAAATCTGACTCTGGAGAAATGCTCAGCATTGTCAGCCTGTCAGAGGATGCTCTGTTGGATGGCATTTCAAAGAAAGACATGAGATGAGAAATATTTATAAGGCTGATAGTTTGTTTCAGAGGGACGGGGGTAAGGGGTCTTCACCAGAGGGCTCTGACATACAGGAAGATTCCCCCTTTCTTCAGCATTTTCCTTTACCAGAGACTCACAAGCAGTCAATTTCTTCTCAAACCAGCTCCACACCAGTCTGCCTCTCTTTGCAGGGCTACTAGATAATTGTTTCTCTCTCCTCCACTTTTATTTCAGGCTCTTGAAAGCTGACTTATTGGTCCCCCTTTCAGCAGATTTCAGTATGGTGTTTATATGGAGTTTACTTTAAATGGGGGGAAAGGGGCGAAGAGTTGTAAGTCTCACTTTTTCAGTTTCAGGATCTCTCCTATTTAATGAAGGAGGAAAACAAGAGATGTTTACCAACAGGTGCCTTGACAGCTCTTTGATGAGGACCAGTCTCTACAGGTCCAGCAGGAGGCAACTAAAAGCTAAAAATAAAAGATTATTGTTGGTTCTGGGCTCCAGACATGACTGGTTTATAAACTAATATTGCCTCCTAGTACATATAAAACCAATATACATAGGAATTTGCCCCACATGAGATTCCCTTTAATTAACCACACCTGTCCCCGACTACTCATACCTGTTTCAAGAAACAGGGCTTTTGTGGGACCATTTGTTACCACAGAGGCCTATGTTTTAGAGTTGAAGGATCTGTGATCCAGCCTCAGCTGAGAGCTCGAGAGATATAACCTTGTCTATTGGAGGATTTGAATTCATTACCACCACACAACCAGTTGGGGAAGAAAGCCTCCTGCATAACTCACGTAGGAATTGTCTAAGGCAGGGGTTCTCAAACTGGGGGTCGGGACCCCTCAGGGGGTTGCGAGGTTATTACATGGGGGGGTCACGAGCTGTCAGCCTCCACCCGAACCCCACTTTGCCTCCAGCATTTATAATGGTGTTAAATATATAAACAAGTGTTTTTAATTTATAAAGGGGGGGGGTCACACTCAGAGGCTTGCTATGTGAAAGGGGTCACCAGTACAATAGTTTGAGAACCACTGGTCTAAGGGTAAGACACAAAGGAAGGCCTCAACATGTCCAGAGGGAGAAGGAAGGGGGTTGACAAAAAAAAAAAGAAGAAAAAACACTCCGATTCCCCATAATTCCTATCGTACTATCAGATGACTGCTTTTCCTTTTCTCCTGTGGGCCTTGTGGTGATCTAGACTATATAGAGGGGTCTCCAACTAGAGATTCAACATGGGCAAACACATCTCTTGTTCTGTCTCAAATCAGCCAGACTGATCTGAAATATATTCTTAAAAAAAAAAATATCTAAGCTTTAATGGCTGTAAATACTTATCTGGCACTGGGCAGTTGAGGTTGGCTCTCAGTTCTCAAATAGCAGGGAGCACCAAAGAAATGCTGGCTATAGCATCTCCGATTCTAGGAGTAGAATTAATCTCTACATGACACCACTAGGATGAATGCAGCAAGTTGACACAAAGATCTTTCGAATACAAGAGGGTGGGTATATTGTTCTGTAGGCTTCTAAAATTATTACAAATGGAATGTCATCTGGCCAGGACACTTTGAATCCATCCATCCAAGTGGACATGTCCACACTGCTGTTTTTAGTGCTTTAGCGCAAGCCCCACGAGCTCAAGTCTGTAGGCTCAAGCTCTGAGACTCAGTGCCATGGGTTTTGATTTGTTTTAGGGATTGTTTGCACTCTAGAGATACCCTACGGGTCAGGTCTAATTCCCTTTTTCGATATGCAGTTTGGACATAACGGAAGAGGAGTGCTTGGAGACTTTTGTCTAGCCATAATCATGTCTCCTATTGTTTTAATACTACATATGCTGTGGTGTGAAGGAGAGTGTGTTTAGCATTCCATTGGCAGTCAATAAAAGGTTTAAATAAGTTAGCTTCAGTGTCTTGGAGCATCACATGGATGAGATTGTTGTTGACCCACCATTTTCATAGCTTGCCCCCCCAAAAAACATTAAACTGAAGCATCACTGTTTATCCTATAAACTTTTTAGCATGCACTTAGCCCCAGAAAAAAGACTGAAGGATGTTTATCTGTGTTCACACGTCCACAGTAAATGAGTATCTCTTATTGCTGAATTTACATTATCACAGCACTGTTAGCAGAAACAAAAACAAAAACCAACTTGTGGGATTGGAACTGTTAAAGGCTCCAGTTTTAAAAGCCAGCCAAAGCACAGATCAGAGACTTGCTGACAACGTCTAAAGTAAAACCGATCCCCTTATTCTGTGTAATGAGAGTTTATAAGCGAGGTATCTTAGTATCACTACCAATTTATGGAATGTGATTAATTACAAAATGAGGCCTATCATTTTCATTTTAAATCCCAGTTGCATGTGCATTTTCAGTGTAATTTCTTTTTGTTCCCAATTTGGCCTCCTTTCTTTGAAAATATTTCTTAAAATTCCAACATTGGTTCTCACTAATAGAAAGCCATTAAGTTGGTGGGTAGGAGGGAAGGATTAAGGGAAACTGATGTTTTAATCAAAGATGCCCTAATTATGAAATGGCCTTAGAACACTGAATCTTGGTGAGTGATGAATCTTTTATATGGGTTCATTGATAAATTTAAAAAAAAAAAATCATAGTAGGACTCTCACCAATCATCTCACAATCTAGTGGGCACAGTAATCAAGAATATAAACTATATAATAAATAATATATTGAGATATACCTATCTCATAGAACTGGAAGGGACCTCAAAAGGTCATCGAGTCCAGCCCCCTGCCTTCACTAGCAGGACCAAGTACTGATTTTTGCCCCAGATCCATAAGTGGCCCCCTCAAGGATTGAACTCACAACCCTGGGGTTTAGCACGCCAATGCTCAAACCACTGAGCTATCCACACACTTTATTAGAGAAGTCAAACTCTAGCTTCTACCTTATAAACAGCCACTTATACACATAACTAGCCAGAAATACAATATACCATTGGATAGCTGTTCAATGTCTTGTATGAAGTGCTTTGGTAGTTTCAGTCATGCTTACAGCAGACCCATAAGGCTCACCACCATAGCTGTCACTAAACATAGGGATCAGGAACTGAACAGCAATGGAATAAGCCACTCTCATCACTAGAAGCAGCTCTTGCAGGTCAGGGTTGAGGCATGTTCAGAAAGTTTGCAGGGTCACTGCCTGTACTGTACATGTTGCATAGAACACACAGTCCAGTCTTCAGCACAATCAATCCAGATACTTAGCATCAGCACATCTTTACCTGCCTCTTCAGCCCACCTCCAAAAAGGTGGTTCTTGAAAGTACACTGTAGGAGAACAGATACTAAAATAAAATTTGAATTAGGCTAGCATGGAAACAAGTTTCAAAAAGTTCTGAGATGACAAAATGTCTGCAGCATAATGTAAACAAACATCCATGTAATATCCAAATGGTAATTAGCTGTTACACCCAATAAAATATTAATGGAAGACTAGCATTAGAGGTGCAAGAGTGGAAACTTGCTATAATCCTCACAAGAACATGAAGAGGGAATCAGTAGGGTACAACAAAAATATAAGTGAGTATAAACAAATCTTAGCAGGAGAGGAAGACTAACACCACCAAAAGATTATAATGGAGGAGGAACTTGGTAAGGAAAGAGGAAGTCTAATAGTAGTTATCAAATATTTCTAAAGCTGCATTGGATTCACTGAAAGTGAAGTGATTTGCATAGTATGATTAAGATTTCTAAGGTTTTTATATTCCAATATGAAATTCTATAAAAATACGGCTACAGACTGCTAGTGAAGATTTTAGTATAAAAACAAATTTGCATCTATTTCACACAATGTGGGTGGGGTGGTTGACAACTTAGTATGCTATGGGGAATGGGTCTAAGATCTAAATGTCTGAACAGTTTTGTATCATATAGAGAACTGCCAATTTAAGTGAAATATGAAAAGCCATAAACACCACTTACACCTGAAAAAGGCTAGATGCAGAAACAAGACATTCATTTCTCCATCATGTGAATGTAGGTCCAATATCTGTTTTATTAATTTAGTAACACTTGCCT